TCTATCCGAACTCACTCAACTACACTCGACCACACTCGACCACACTCGACCACACTCTACTATGACTACGGACTTAAGTCTAGAAGATGCCGATTATCCACAATTATACAAAATGCCAATGTATAGACGTAGATCCCCCGCCCCAATTCATTCTTCTTCAACACACCTCATCTTGAAAATTCTACTGTGATTCAAGATAGATGGATGGAATAAAGCGCGTCCTGTCAAGGCCAAATGCGAAGCCGTACCGCACGAAACATATCAACGATGATCAACCATATATAAACGAAAATGGGCATCTGGATTTTGGACCAGGGGACATCGAGAATCCGAAGAATTGGTCGACCACGAGACGATGGTATATTACCGTGGTAGCAGTTTTGCTCGTCGTCAATGCAACTTTTGCATCGTCAAGTCCATCGGGATGTTTGACAGGAATCGAGGCAGAATTTAATATCTCTGCTGAAGCTGCAGCGTTGGTCATCTCGGTTTTCCTTTTGGGATACTGCTTTGGACCCTTGTTCTGGGCTCCATTATCAGAATTTTTTGGACGGAGATGGATCTTTTATATCTCGTTTACCTTGTACCTGGCATTCAACTTCCTCTGTGCTTTCGCCAATAATTTCGCAGCTCTCTTGATAGGACGATTCATAACCGGTACCATGGCCAGTTCGCCACTTTCGAATGCGCCTGGAGTTCTCGCTGATATTTGGGGCCCTGTGGAAAGAGGAAATGCAATGGCTCTGTTCTCGATGATGACCTTCGCTGGGCCAGCTTTGGGTCCTGTCATCTCTGGCTTTCTCGAATTGAAGAAAGATTGGAGGTGGAATTTTTACGTCATCTTATGGCTTGCGGGTATCACCGAACTTCTAATGTTTACCATACCAGAGACTTTACCTTCGAAAATATTAGTAAATAAAGCTAGGAGAATAAGGGCATTGAGAATTCCAGGTTACGAAAACGTCAAGGCTCCTGTCGAAGATAGCGATCGCACATTATGGCAACTTTTCAAGGTCGCACTCATTCGACCATGGCAACTCCTCGTCGACCCGATCTCGTTCGCTGTTGCGGTTTACTTATCTGTCGTGTATGCTCTACTGTATATGCTGTTCACCATCTATCCCATTATCTTCCAGGAGAAGCGTGGTTGGAACTCCGGAGTGGGAGAATTGCCACTGATTGGTACAATTATTGGAGCCTTCATAGGAGGTGTTGCCATCTTTATGGTGTCTTCTCGCGATAGGAAAAGGCTGGAAGCTGGCCATATTGGAGTAGCAGAGGATCGTTTACCAGTCGCCATGGCCGGTGGAATCATTTTTCCAATCACTATGTTTTGGTTCGCGTGGTCTGGAAATTATAACGAGGTGCACTGGATTGTTCCTACTCTTGGAGGAGTATTCCTCTCCACATCAATTCTTCTCATTTTTGTCGCCTATCTCAACTACCTGACTGATACATACCTAATGTATGCCGCGAGTGCCGTTGCTGCGAATACTGTTTGCAGATCGGCAGCTGGCGCCGCAGCTCCGTTGTTTACATCATATATGTTCGATGCTCTCGGCGTCGGCGGTGGTGGCTCATTAATCGGTGGAATTGCCGTTCTTCTCGCCCCAATCCCGTTCTTATTTTATAAATATGGTGGAGCCATACGAGAACGATCTAAATTCGCTCCCACGCCTACGAAGAAACCTTCCAATGGAGAAGATGTCGGCAATGAAAAAAATGGCGAGACCGCCCAACCCTCACCAGACAGAACGACTCAAGATAGGACCAGTATCAGCTCTGAGTCATCATCAAGTATAGCAAGCATGCCAGCTTCCCCGCGTGAAAATACTTATCATCAAGAAGGATATATTGAGGAGGGAATGGGATATGGGCGTGTAGCACTTCCTAGTGATACGAGAGCACACGATGCTGGACAGCTTGCGAGCGAGAAGTGAGAAGATGAGCCAAAAGGTAGAATGTGGAACGTGTAATTATTAGAAATGTTTTGCATGATCGTAGTTAGCGCGGAGCAAATGTGGAATATCCAAGGCATGGCGATGGCGTTTTGTCATGAATTTGATAGCGAATGTAAACTCGGCGATGAATGTATGATTTATTGCAACTTCTGTGTATTCATTATGGTGAAGTGAGTTTAAGAAGGATTCCGGCAAGAAATGAGAGGGACCGATGGATGTTGTATCGTGTCTGCGGGCATTCAGCATGCGAGTTCTAAATTCTTCTACACCCAGCCTCATCACTCGCCACACACCTCGTTCCCACCCACCCCACAAGTAGAATTTCTAGACGGCATATCAGAATCAATATGATAATACCAAATCCATCATAAACTATCTACCTAGGGGAGAAAAAACCGCGCAGTCTTGATATCCAGCGCGAGCTTCTCGATAGATATATTATCGATCGCGGTAAGTAAGTATTGCAAGTAAGTATTTCACGCGCTCCAATCTTTTGCAATTAAATGAATTGCACAGGGAGATCCTATACCGCGAGGCCTTCTGATGATCAGCTTTTAAAATCTGGTCTGAAAAATTATAAGATATGTGTAATAAGTTGATAGAACCATCATCGGGGTTTTGAAAGACGCGAGCTCAAATTCGTGGAAATCTGGTTTCTCATCGTTTTTTTCACAACTAAATCTGCAGACTGAGAAGTTTTTTTGGTTCCAGTTCGTATGTTTCGCGGATGAAGCGACGGTTGTTCGGGGGTCTTCGCGGATGTACATGTGTATGTGTAGATGGGCTTGAGAACCCCGGGTACTTCAAGGAGAGGATGTGGTTCTCGATTTGCCGTGCTGGGGGTTTTCGCTTATCGGTCGGGTTGGGTGGGTGTTTGGAAATTCGTTTTTCTTTCTTCAGAAGGAGGAGGGAGGGGGGGGCAGATTTATTTCGGGATTTGTGGCTCATGGGATTGAATTCGGGTTGAGTGCTGGATGAGGTTTTTCCTTGGACAGAAGCTAAATTAAATAGTAGTGAGAGCCCTGCTACTCAGCTTGTGGCCCGGATGTCGCTTGAGGAACTCGGTTATTCTATTGACAACTGTGAAGATATCTGAGAATTGTGTGGCCGATACAGAAATTCTTGTGCTTCCAGGGCTTGGTGTTATTTTATCCATGCAGGCGGCGGCTCTTTTGCCCGGGTTCATGGTGATTTTGTCGAATTCTTTTGGGCGGACAAATTTTGAGTGATTGGAGAATGGTGAAAAGGGATTGGTGAGTAGATTATTCTTCGGCACTTTGTTGTTGACATGCTGGATTGCTCTGCTATTGGACGTTATGGTACTTTACGGTATCACCCTAGGTATCCCAAGTGAACCTTGTGATCGTTCTACCGGATATAAGAATCTTGGATTAGATATAATTTTGATGATTGATTGAGTGAGTGAGTTGAGGACGACGAGGCTAAATCTATGAGCGTTGTATTCTTACAAACATTCCTTACAGTCTTGTATCGATTCACCAATGGATATTGAAAAGAAGAATTATCTATGGAACAAGCCGATGAGACTTATTTCACAATTCCCGTCACCTGGTTTGGCGCACTCGGAAGAGCCCATAACACCTTCTTGTACAGTCACTGTGCACTTCTATTAGCCGAAACTCCACAAAACGCGTTTTTTCATGCATTATACTCCCACAATTACATTTTATTATTTTAATTATACTTTCAATTTATAATGTATAATATATTGAAGGTATATAAAATGATTCTTATAAATATTTTATTTTATATATATATAGTAAAATAATTAGTAAAATAAAGAAGGTTTTAGTTCCTATTGAATTGTGAAAAGCCTTGAACTCTTTTATAGAATTATATAATATACTTTTTTGTAAGATCTAATATATAATAATGATATATCTACTATATATTAATCAATCTAAATTATATATTAAACAAATTAAACAAATATTATTATAATATATACAATTGTTTTTGAAAGCTATATATAAATAAATTATTTAAGAGATTAGACTTGATTGTAATATTAAAACTATTAAAAGGATTTTGATTAAATATAATATAATTAATTGGAGGTATAAGAAAAGATTAAAGTTTATATTAATATATATTATTAAATAGTTTAAATAATATTTAGCTTATAGAAAGTTGATAATTGAAAAATAGAATCTAATTGTATAATTAGATAAATGCTTTATAAAATAAGAAAAAGAAAAAAGATCAGAATAATATTTTTATATTAATTTTCAGAAATAGGATTCAAAAATAATTAAAATATATAATACAAATAAGAATATAAAAATTATATATTGAAAAAGCTTTTGGAATATTAGGAAAAATAATCTATATATAATAGATAGAGATTTTGAAAATACAAAATATAAATATAATATTAAATTTTATTTTAAGATTCTTGAAATTGAAATAGATTTTATTTTCGAAAAGTTTAATCTAAATTATAAATTTATATAGAATAATATTTTTATTTATTATATTTATAAAATATAAAATTGTTTTAAAAAAAAGAAGATTTCTTTATTAAAGAATTAGTTTTCTTATTCTTTTAATTTTAATTCTATAGAGTATATATAATAGATTCTAAAGATAAGAGCATATAAAATATTATCTAATATTATTATTAATAAAAGCGAATTAGAATATATTTATTAAAAACTAAAGAATTGTTTATAGGCAATTTGGAATATATTAAATAAAGAATTATTTAATAATTTGAGAATTAATATATCTTTTAAAATTAAGGCTTATATTATAGTGAATAACTGATATATTAAATATTAATAGATTGAAAATCAATAATAGAATAATTTTTATATATATTAATAATATAAGAATATATTATTTATTTATTCAAATTTAATAATTTTATAATTCTTGATTAATTTAATATTTAATATTGAAAAAGGGTAGTGTAATATGTGATATTATAAAATAAGCGGGGGGGCGGATATAAGTGGCCTAGTACTGTAGTATCAATAAAGCCATCTCTGTCAACATTTACGACGGACAAAATTCGCAATGTCTTCGCCCGAGAAAGCCATCGAAACTCTAGCTGGCAAGGTCAACCAACTTCGTGGCCTCTACGGCTTCGAAACGGTCAAATATTTCACATCTCCGCCCAACGAAGATGTTTTTATGCGTTTGTCCGACCAGGAAAGTAGTGATTGCGGAGTTAGCGCACACATGGGGTTGAAAGGTGGCTGCTTTGGACTTAGGGGCTGTCCAGTGTTCAAGAATCGGGTTGACCTGCTTGGGAGACGGGGATCGAAAGCTGATCTATATTCTCAGATCATTATATGGTTTCAGGTATGTCGAAGAAGTAGTTGGAGAAGTACTGTGAGATTATAACCTCATGCTGACGGATGATTTTTAGGACAACCGCGCGAGGCTACCCATGAGTTACAAGGACGAAAAACTTTATATTACTTTAAAGGCGAAGATAAAATCCTCGGAGTCTCAAGATCAGCAATTTGCGGAAGAATATGAAGCTTTTCTCAACGGCGAAGCTAAAATCCGCGTTCACATTGCGTCGCAGGATCGTGTCGGGGTCGTTGTTCCTGAGACCAAATTGGAGTCTAGTAACTCTAGTAATATAGCACAGGTAATTTCATTACTCTCAGTATTAGATTTCTCATTATATGCTATGCAAGGCTAATAAGTTGCACGAATTTGTTTTAGCTCGATCCCACCGACAACAATCATGGACGGGGAATGAAGAGAGATAGAGAGGAAGACGCGGATATGGCTGATGGCGATGTGGAAGTACCACGAAAGCTAAGCAAACAAGGAAGAAAGAGGGCAGCAAGAAGAGCGAAAGTAATCGCGGTCGTGGCAGATTCCCAAGATTAGTCCACGCAAAAATCATCGTGAGGTTTGGCATCAGGATCTCCGGATCTCTTAGTGTGATTTTGCTGTTAGCTGGGGATAATTGATATCCTTTCGGTCTCTGAGCTGCTACTGAGTTCAGGATTGATGGTTTCATAACTAAAATGATGTTTAACGATCAGTAGTCCTCTTGAGATGGTAATGGACTTTGCAAGTTCAAGGTTGAGCAGCGGGCAGCGAGGATCACCACATTCGTCCATATACTTCAATATTCTATCATATCCCTTTTTTGAACAATACGTGACTTTAATTATGTTAGGTCTAATAAGTATCTACTTCTGTATCAAACACAAGCCCGTTCTCTTCATTAATCTTATCTCTGTGGTGTTCTCCATGAATTAGGATATATCCCCTTTCATATTTCGGATAATATCCAATCAGGAGTTTACCCGTGATTTATGTGCACTCGAATGGTTTTATGTTCCATGTAAGTACATCCTGTGTATAATCTTTGTTAAAGTTGCTAATTCAAGACTTGAGATCCAGATTTTTCTTCCATCTCTGGATGCTATTCTCGGGAAAAGTGCGAATGTGAACGGGATAAAAATACTGATATTATGCTGAGCTTGGTTCATTTTATCAATTGGGCATCGGAAGAGTCTGAAAGACGGAAATCATTATATTGAATCACAAGGTAATTTTGTCACAGCACGGGAAATAATCTACAAGAGCATGCACAGTTACTTTTCACGTGGGATAGAAAATCACAGATAAATTCTTTAGTTGGGTAGTATTGATATTCCTGTTATCCTAACAAAAGTCTCTCAACCAAGTAGACTATGAGATCCCGTCACTCAACGATGATAGTTAAAATCTTGATTGATTTCAACTCGTAAACCCTTCCCCTCAGACCAAACATCAATATGTCGACTGGATTTCCTCAAACCCCGCTACATGGCTCCAGAAACCAATAGTTGTAGCCCCGAGCTTCTCCGAAAGTTGAGCTTCGGCTATGAGTATGATCCTCTACATCACTACGAGTAATGTAGACTTGTTGATTGGCTTATTGCAAGAGATCTTTGGCTTCCATATCCTACATGTGTCTATGTTAGTGTAATGTTACATTTCAAGCTGTGGATTGTGGAATCTTGCCTTGAACCATTCAACAAGCTTGACACGAGCGTTGACAATTGCATCGTTTTGTCTATAGAAAGCGCCATTCTCATCGCTTCTAAATTCAGGACCGTCTTCAAAAATAGAGAGGCTACCGTGGACACTCATGATGGCTGTGTGAATGTTTCGATCGGTGTAATGGATAGTGTCCGGAGCATCAGTGAGCTTGAGAAGAATGACGATTCTGTAATGAGAGCGAAAGTAGTCTTCTTCTCTAAGCAAGTTTTTGTAAGAGATTGGGCACATCATATTTGCAGTTGTGGGATGATGAAAACTGTTTGAAGGTTCGAAGTAGTGATTTGGTGGAGAGGTAATTTATTTGATGAATTTGGATTCTCGATGTCTTTAGAAGTTGGATGGAGAAGTAAACTGCAAGATACAAGATTTAGAAGATGTTGGAGAGCAGCACCGTTGGATACTTAAGTACTCAGTAGAAGGGGCTTTCAAACTGATGAAAACTGAGCCAGCGCCGTATCTACACGCAAATCGTATCAGATTACAAAGATTGACAAAGGTACGGCCAAATGAGATGAGTATGAATCATCTTCGTGCGGTATGGCCGTACTAAGAATCTTGAGTATACAGTATTGCGCTCTCGTTGATTCACACTTCAATAAATATTTTGTATCTTGACCGAAATCCAAGCAAGGACATTCACATCATGAGATATGTTTGGAGTGTCGATGTCAATGTCTTCGTCATTTTCGTGATGCTGGGTAAATGAGCTACCACATGAGAGACAAATGAAGCTCTGGATTTGGTAGCGGGATAGCAAATCTACTTGAACTAGCCAAGAAATTTCAATCATATAATCGGATCAGAATATACCTGGATATCATCGCCACTGTGTGCCTCAAAACCTTCTTGCTAGACCCCTCACGGAATATGTACTCATTTGAATCGGCCAGCAATCAGAATTGACTTAGGAACTACCTTTTGGTCTTGTTTCGAAATTTCAATCGAGTCCCGTAGTAACGTCTTGTTTATATCCTGCATTATAGTGAACTTCTGTTGTGTTACTCGACTTCATAGTCGTCAAATTGCGGGGTAATTAAAATGGGGCTAGGTTATAAGCGAGTGTGGACGAGACGAGAACAACGACATCGGTCAGCGGAAAAGTCTTCATTCGCGTTGCCCACCAAAGAATCATATAGCATATGAGACAATCATTATTATATTGTGTTTCTATTCTAAGAAGCCACTTACAGCGAGAAAGCTCATGTGCGTAGAGTATCTGGTCCAACATTTTATCAGTGAACGGCATGTTCCTCGACATTGTATGAAGATGGATTCAAGCGAGTTCGCCTGTTAGTGATACATGTACCAAAAGTAACCTTGGAAAACGATATTCATCAAGTAGTATAGAAGTAGTATGATGCAATGGTCTAGTACCTTGCATCAAGGCCATCGGCCCCTTTGGAGAGCGAATTTTCCTGGTTTGCTCGCGTTGTGCTTTCATCTCACGATGCATGCTTCTCTTTCCCTTGCAGTGTTCAGTTTGTTTAGCTTGCTTTCAATCTGTGCTTCAATATTTTTTTACTTCTGTTAACTCGTTGTGGATTTTGTGGTTTCCAGTTCTCGTCTCATAATTTCCACATCTATTGCACTTTTCCCTTGATTCTTACATACTTATTATCCATGCCCATAAATGGATAGTATCACTACCTTGGTGTTCAATGATCGTTTAAAGCATCTCAGAGACTTCATCTCGCTGGCTTCTCTGTATTCTCACGCTGCCTCACATAATCGACGACAAAAATGCCTTGCTGAGAGCAAACTAGTAAAACTATTACACAGATTTCTGCCCGTCATGTGAAAAAAGATGGATGATCGTACCAAAGCGTATTGAAGATCTCTGGCTCGATGGTTCCTAAAACAGCATCAGGTTATTTGATTACATATCAATGATCATGACCGTAGTATTTATTTATCTTTGACACCGTAGCATCTAGACTAAACATCGTACCTCCGGTTGCTTACGAAATCATCAAGCAGTGATGTTCGTGCGATCACATCACGAAATGTCAGATTTGTTCTCTTTCCTGTCGCCATATAGATGGGGAACTTAGTACAGTACCATGACTACCGTTGCATTGCTTAAGAAACTAATAGTTAAAAGGATGAAACTTGATTGATGTAGTAGGTAGTTATAGTCCCGAGGTCTAGCGCTTGCGCGAGCGCGGTTACATGATACTTAGCCTGAGAGGGCCTTCTATGAAACGTTTTCGCGTGTATAGATTTTTACAATTCGGGGTTCATTGATGACTAAAGTCATATGTGTGCAGTTTCTGGGACTCGGGGTGGCCCGCTAGACGACAAAAGAGCGTGCCCCGCATACTCCATCTGCCCCCTCGCCCGGCACCTTTTCGATCATATAATCTTTGGTTATGTGATCAGAGCTTCAGTCATTGAAAGTCACTACAATTGATGGTCAGCTTCCTTGCCTTTGAAACATTTCATCTGAAGTCGAGAAGTGCGGAGACCAGAAGTTCATATGCCAAAAGTCGTAGTACCAAGACCAGAGGTGCGAGCGGAAATGCAAGTGTCAATAGGGTCACACGTCTTTAATCGCTTTCGCCCGATACGTCTGAAAGTTATCAGATACCATTATTTTTCTTCTTCTACCAGGTGGCAATTTGTTGGTCAAATGTTTGTCTTCTTCTTCGTCGCCTGAAAGTCTCTTTCTCTTGCCCAAGGATTTATTTACCAACAGCGCGAGGCTTCTACCGATCAAGCTCTTTGCTGTCACTACTTTCGAGTTCCTCCCCTCCTTCTTTCGAGAATAATCGACATCCAGCTCATCATTGGCATCGAGTTTGGCATATCTTTCAGGGTGGAGAGCTTGTGCTGCTTGAAACTTGAGTTCCTGGGAATTAAGGCTGTGTCATTTGAACAAGTGAAAGTTTGGGAGCACTTACCGCAGCAATTCTCATTCCAGGGTTACCCACTTTATTGGAAAGTACTTCAAGTAAAAGCTAAGGATATATTTGATCAGTATTGTTGTCAAGTCTTGGTTGACACGCTCGAGGCTTACAGGACCAAGGGTCTTTCCACCATCAGTTGACGTTGCCAAGCGCAAGCGATGCTCCATATAAGCAGAGTAGTTGTCGGCCTCTTCTGTACGCACACCTTGAACAATCTTAACCATATTTTCGTAAGCCTCCACAAACGCTTGTTCTTCTTTCGCGCTCGGAATCCATGCTGGGTCTGGAATTTTCTGCAAGCAACTATGTTAGCTTGTATCTTCTCTGCATCACGATGCCATACAGAACTTACTTCCCAGAAGCTCAGTGCCTTTTCGGCTAGACATTGCTTCAGATTCAGGATGTCTTTGGGGCTGGACGATGAAATGTCTTTGCGCCGGGTGAGCATATCATGGGCGACGTAGCCACCTCGAATACTCAATGAACCAAACATTACGTCATCCTCAGAGAAAAAATTCCATTGCGCTTGAAGGCCTTTGTCCAAGACCTTTCGATCAAGTGTCCTCAAAACAGTATTCTGAGAATAGGCATATTTTAATTTTGATTCTGCCCTTTCTAATGCAGTCTGGGACTCCCGCGAGGCCTTCCCATCTGGGTGTAAATTCATGTTCGTTCAGGCGCAGCTTTGTATTCCCTGAATAGCTATGTAATAGAAGTAAAGAGTATGAAGTGGCCTGTATTGGATTGTCGAACCAAAAGCTTGTAAATTTCTCCGACCTCGCTTTCAGTCTATCACGGGAGACAATACCGTTAAGATATGTTACATAAAACACAAAAGTGCTGCGGCTTTTGTTGCCGCGCGACCAGGCGCGAAATGGTAGATATGAGTGAATTTTTTTTAACGGCCAAATATTGCCAATAGTTTTAATAAAAGTGTCAGCTACTCTTGGATTTGACCGTTAATAACCGGCTAGAAATGCCGTTATGTGAGTTTTGAGTAGATTCCATTTCACCTACAGATTCACGACCATCAGTTCACGCCTACTAATTCACATAGACTCATTGGACGTTGCCATTTTGGAAACCGTGGAGACTATGATCTGATGTCCTCAGAGAAAATCCATCATATTAAAAGAAAAATCAAGACATAGCTAAAATGAAGCTATTCTCACTTGTCAGATACCCGAGACGTTCAGCAACGGATCACCTGCGCCCTGTCTGGATCAAGTAATTCATCGACTTTCCTTGAGCGAGATGAGAAGAAGATCTTGGTATCCAATCGGAAGAACTGAAACTGCCGAAGATAGCGATATGCATCTTTATCCACTATGAATAGTTACCAGTTCGTGCGTTCTTAGCATCTTTTTCAAAGACCGCATTCTATTCGTACATTGTTGGTCTCGAACACAGTTTTAGAATATAGTAGAACCTACGTTGAACCACGCGATAGCAAATGCCATTAATGGCATCTGTTTTGAGCTGGTATCCCTCACTGAGAAACTTGACGCGTATATGGTCATTACCTCCTGATACGGTGTCGGTTTATACGTGCTCTACGATTCCAATATCAGCACTATATATAATTTGGGGTAATCGGCCATTGAAAACTCTATTCGTTCCATTATTTATGATCCGACCTCAAGTTCCTGGAGTGTTATCCGGGGATTCTGTGAAGAACTTTTCAGGCAGAAGATAGGGGCTTGACGCGTTAGTCTGGTTCTCCGCCATGATTTCTGTTTTCCATTGAAATAGAGAGGCGGTGCTAGGAATGATCGAGGTAGCAGATAAAACTTGGAGAATCTCCGCGTTGTGGTTGGACATGGATCTGTCGTGGGCGAAAATGACGTTACCGAGGGCAAAAAGGAATACTTCACGTGCACTGATCTACTGCCGTTGATCCACATCCATGGTTCACCACAGTTTCTCACTGGCAATTTCATATGATGGTCTACTTGACCCAATGAAAATATTGGCCATCAGATCGTAATTCAAGTTACGGGATACATTCTGAGGTTTCTTCGCCTGGATTCTCTTTCGCTTCGTTGTAGCGACAAGCGACGATTAGGCTAATAAGAATCCATGACGTTTCATTCTTATTCGAGTTCCAATTGCAAGAAATGAATGACAAGTCAGGCCAGAGTATGCCCAAAAATTATCCCAAAGTTAAAAAGGAAGGTTAAAAAAATTGAAGTACCTGATCTCTAGAATTCTCCTTCGTAGCACAACTAGGTTCAGTACCCATGACTGTGTGATCAAGCACCGAAAATAAGCTTCTCAGCTAAGTCACAAATTCAGAAATTCTATGTATTAACAATGCAAGGGCGTGTGTCTAGATATACAATGTTAGAATCTGCTTACGAGAGAGAGTACCATCATATGTTGCCATGTGATGTGTTCCAGACATGTATTCTCAAATACATTATGATGGTACCCTCACCATCTACCTCTTTCTATCTCTCTATCACCCAAAAAGACCAATCAAACTTCCCCAATCCTCCAAAACGACGACATCCGGATATCAAGAACTCCTAGCGCACATTAATCCATCCGTACAATCAGAGCGACTCTCTACACATACGATCTCCCCAATCAAATGAATCCACCTTGCTGACCCCGTCTTAAACCATAACCCCAATATCGAGAAGAGATACAGCACCAACTACTGCAATCATACGTACTAATATCAACACTACACCCAGGAAAATGTATCATTTACGAGTATTCCCAGCTAGCTTCTGACATATTGAGAGAGATGCATATATTATGATTTATCATGACAGTCGTAAAGAGACGAGTTTTAGCTGGTTGTGAAATAACACGGATAGTTCAATTCCATTTGAATCTACGATTTGAAAGCGAAAGAATCCCGGTCATGGAATCCCTGAAAGAGCTTCTAAGTATCTGCAGTTTAAGAAGCTGAGTTTCAGTACCAAAAATACCATGAGCACTGCAGCCAAAACGTTAGCCTTCAAATTCGGTATCAGGTACCAACCCCAGACTAGATCGGGTCTTTTCAGCTGGAGAATTCGTGAAACTTTTTCTCGCAACATACTCTCCGTCTGATTTTCTCTTCCCTCCATTTCCATTTTCATGCCCGCTGTACTTCTTTCTCAATTCTTAGCGGTCCAAAAGTTGCAATTTTTTCGAGTCAGAATGTTCTATCAATCACATGTAGTGTTGAGCATATATTCATGTTCAATAACATATGTGTGCATTGAAGATTTATGGAAGTTTTGGTTGAGGGACAGCTAGAAGAATCGAATGCTTGTCGTCTATGGAGGGAAGCGGGCATGAGATTCTTCAAACCTTTGTGCCTTTTATTCTGACATCATTATTGTGCTTCAGTTGATAGCAGCTGTCTGTATAAAAGAAGCTGATTTATAATGTGATCAGATGGAAGAGAAAATTAATCGTGTCCAAATTTTGTGATGGTTAATTACTAGGCAGACCCATGTAGGAACGGGGAAAATTGACTACGGCGAGGAGCGACACTTGCACGAAAGATTCCGCTTCAATTCACCACCATATCGCACTAGCGGTTTTAGGAAGATTGTTTATTTCTAGATGAGACTATCTGTTTCCTAAGCCAGTACATGGGTCAACTCTTTCCCCTCATGCCATCTCTGAACATTCTCAGCTTGTACCTCATACCAATCATTCATGGTACCTTCTTCCACGTAACCCATATGCGGACTCAACAAGACTTTGCTGCTTCCATCCTCTCCCCATTTTGTGCTTCTCCATTGACTATCTTCTGGCAAAGGCTCTAGATCAAACACATCCAGCGCAGCCCCACGAATCTTTCCCTTTTGCAAAACGTTCAGTAAGGCTTCCTGTTGAACAAGGGGACCTCGTGATGTATTGACAAACAAAGCACTCTTCTTCATTAAATCCAAGTCCTTTTCGCCTACTATTCCTTTGGAACGATCACTCAACACCAAATGGACGCTAACCACGTCGGCCGTTGAGAACAACTCTTCCTTACTCACAACCTTGAACACCTTCTCTCCATTCTCATCCTCAGTATCAAAGCCACTGTCTCTAGCCTGTTGATCCGCAGTTTCTTGAGTCAAATTCGAGCTCCATGCTATAATCTTCATACCAAATGCTGAATACATGATCTTGGCTACATTTGTGCCCAATCTACCTAGTCCCAAAGTTCCAAAAGTCTTTCCACTCAATCCAGTCGCTAACGTTGTCTGCCAACCACCTCCCTTGACTACTTTATCATCCCAGGCTACATTTCTCGCAATTCCTAAAATTAAGGCAACAGTATGTTGCGTGGTGCTATCTGGACCTCTCTTTGGTTTTCCCGAGGCACCGGTGACAGTAATTCCAAGTTTCTTGGCGGCTTCCATATCAATACCCTTATTTCTGCTTGCTGCATTAAGGAGGAGTTTGAGATTGGGAAGCTTTTCAAGAAGTGAACCGGGAAAGGGAGTCCTTTCTCTCATGGATGAGATGATTGTGAATGGCTTGAGCCTCTCCACCAGTTGATTTTTGACATCTTCCGGAGTTGAAGGGTCATTGTAAGGTAACAGGGTATTTGGAAAAGTGGTAATCTCAAAGGTCGATTTGAGTGATTCGAAATGTTTAGAAGCAATCCCTTGATAATCATCAAGAATAGCCAATCTGATGAGTGGCCGAGGTACAGGAGGCATAGTGATATAAATGGATGACAGGTATTGAGTTATCAAAAAATGAAGCAATGCGGGGTAAAATGTGGGGTGATACTGGTATGAAGGATCAAACAATATGTCAAAAGCAGGGGGAAGAGGACTAGCAGAAGTATTGCTTTAGATGAAGTTATTCAAGACCCCTTCTCGGCGAGGCAATATGTGTAAGATTTACCAATCAATGATAGAATCAAGAACAAGCCTTAAGTTTCCGAGAGGACTTGGAACACTGGTGGAAGTAAAAAGAGTGAGGTCTGCATATCCGAGGTCGGAAGCAAGTATCCACACGAGATGATGAATGGAGGACGTCGCTTCAAACCCCACGATAATCCGCTTTGTAAATTGACTGGAGAGTGTCAGTGGGGTTACTACTAGATCAATAAGAACCAAGTGTACACAAAAGATTGTTATCTTCGACCAGGACAAGAGCACGGGTTCCTTTGGCCAATTTAACCTGGGTACACTCTCACACCGTACAAAACCGAGAATTGCGCAAAAGTCGGTAACATATGATTGGAGCGCATGAACATTCAATCCTCTTTTTTACTTCTCTTGGTCGGGCTCTCTTCCGCCGATAACTTGTCTTGCCCCACCACTATTTTTGGCGGGGATATGATAGTATATCTCAGTATGTACCTCGTTTTGTATGCATTGGGAATTGGGTTGATGACTTGAACACGTATAATTCGTGGAGAACTTCTGACAGAACTGCCTCATCTCATTGGAAAGGCTCAAAGGGTGGGTGGTCGCGGATAATTCTGCTGCACGCTATTGGAACCGTGGGTCACTTGACAAATATTGTAATTACCACAGGTAAATCCTAAATACTTTAACTTCCTCTATCCTCCAAGAATATACTTCCCTCAAAGACAAAAAAGCAGTAACAATGAGCCCTTCAGCAACAGAAATCTCACAGACCACCATGGCAAAGCCTACCAAGTCTAACATTGGTGTTTATACCAATCCAGCACATGAATTGTGGGTTGCAGAAGCGGAACCATCGTTAGAAAGCATTGAGAAGGGCGATTCATTAAAGCCAGGAGAAGTTACAGTGGGAATTAGAAGTGTCGGTATCTGCGGGTGAGTTTCAATCTATTCTCTGGCACATATTCATTCTAATAGTCATTCCAGGTCGGATGTACACTTTTGGCACGCTGGGTGTATAGGCCCAATGATTGTCGAAGATACACACATACTTGGACACGAATCAGCTGGTGTTGTCCTCGCAGTCCATCCATCGGTTGATAGTCTGAAAGTCGGCGATCGTGTTGCTGTTGAGCCAAATATTATTTGTGGTGTCTGCGAGCGATGTCTCACTGGTAGATACAACGGATGTGAGAAGGTCTTGTTCTTGTCGACACCACCAGTTCCGGGTCTTCTTCGCAGATATGTCAACCACCCTGCAACTTGGTGTTACAAGATTGGAAACATGTCATTCGAGGATGGAGCAATGCTAGAACCTTTGAGCGTCGCATTGGCTGGTTTAGAAAGAGCAAATGTTAAGTTGGGAGATCCAGTTCTCATCTGCGGAGCTGGCCCCATCGGTCTTATTACCCTCCTTTGTGCTCGAGCTGCTGGAGCTTGCCCGATTGTTATCACAGATATCGATGAGGGAAGACTTGCTTTCGCCAAGGAGCTTGTTCCTTCAGTTACTACGCACAAAGTCGAGAGATTATCCGCGGAAGAGGGTGCTAAATCTATCGTAAAATCCTTTGGGGGTATTGAGCCAGCAGTTGCTATGGAGTGTACTGGAGTTGAAAGCAGTGTAGCAGCAGCTTGTTGGGCAGTCAAATTTGGTGGAAAGGTGTTTGTGGTCGGTGTAGGCAAAGATGAGATGACACTACCATTTATGAGATTGAGTACCCGCGAGGTGGACCTACAATTTCAGTACAGATACTGTAACACATGGCCAAGAGCTATTCGACTAGTCGAGAGTGGTATCATTGATATGAAGAAGCTGGTAACTCATCGTTTCCCACTGGAAGATGCGATTAAAGCTTTCGAGACAGCAGCAAATCCAAAGACTGGTGCTATAAAAGTTCAGATCAAGAACGACGAATAGGGTCGATTTAGATGAAATTTAATGCAATTTGTCGCGATAGTATAGTGTAGACAGTTCAATTGAATATAATAAAAAGCTTTCTTCAAGTTGGGCGAAATGTGAAATGTAAAGATAAATTGGAGATATAAAACTCCAGCTTGAAAATAATAGGTCGACTTTTGCTTAGTAATCTGCAATTTCCACACCACGGAACGTTCCTAAGCTTCCCGGCGTCGGCAAAAAAGTCGACAAGCATTTCTCTCGCGATTACACTCCACCACCACGCACTTCTCGATAATCGACACCTCGAGTAACGCGAGAGTCCTTTTCTTTCTGTTTATCGGCGCATAGATTCCATAATGTCATTACATATCTCCCGCACCGTGCTGCGGCAATCTATGAAGGCTCCTGCAAGGGCAGTACGAAGATTTGAATCTACCTCCACTAAGGCCACCGAAGCAGCCAAAGATACCGCCGCAAAGGCATCAGAGAAAGCATCGGATTTCCAGTCGAAAGCTAGCGAAGGTCTTTCCCGTGTCACTTCATCCGCAGGACCTGCTATCTCGGGTGCTGCCAAAAACCTTGGAAATGCCTTAGGGAAAATTGGAGGAAGAACCGGAAGATTCATTGCCTTCATTGAACGTAAGTTTCATTTTGCGTCTGCGTGCAGAGATGATTTTCTGGTGGTTTTACAAGTCAATGGCTAATTTTGTGCTCATAGGACAAATCCCACCAACCGTCTACTATGCTCGTGTTGGATTAGAGCTCTCCAAATTAGTTATTCAAGGTCAAAAGATGGCACCTCCGTAAGTTTAACGATGAAATGCTTTTTACCAGATTTTGAGCTGATTTTTGGCTTGCAGACCAGCCTCAACATTTCAATCATACTTTCAAAAGATTGTACAGGGTGTCAAATCCGGAAATCCAAGCTCTGCTTTCAATTCAGCAGCAAACTCCAACAAAGCAACACCTACTGGTTTGCTCGAACAGATCCGAAATATCAGCACAGCTCAGATGGTCTCGGGTGGTGTTATAGTTGCTGAGGTTTTGGGATTCTTCACAGTTGGTGAGATGATCGGTAGAATGAAGTTGGTAGGATACAGAGGGGACACTGGAGCTCATCACTGAGCGGACAGTGATAATGGAGCTGCGTAGAACGTGGATGGAACTATCGGTGGGATGGACGAAAAGGGCGTAGCATTCTTTCTCGACCGTGGTATGAGAAGCTGCGGATGGTGAGATTGGAGTGCGTGTGCACATATCCTGATACAATTTTTCTTGTACTCGTAGAACCATGTCTGTACATCAAAAATAAAACAGCATAATGGTGGTTTGGAGTTCTTTTGGTTCCTGATTCTTCCGTTGCCCGAAGAGGATCTCTCGGTTTATATTGTTCTGGTACGGGCATTCGGAATGTGTATACTTCTCGGAAATGGTCTACTTGATTGAGACTTGCTCCCAATTACCATTACTTGATCGGAGACCATATAATATACAATCGAGTAGATTCAATGGATACTGGTACACACTTTATCTTAGAACTTGCATTATTTAAATTCCTCTTACTCTCTTTCTCCCTCTTGATTCACTGAGGGGAGGGGTGGATGGTCCCCTCTCCTTTCAGACCCTCTCCCTTCAGCGTCAAAAGGTCTTGAATCATCTCATAATACAACGCTACATATTACCATATAATACAACCTAGTATAAAAAACATGACCCCTTATAGTATACTAGACCCTGCCGCCAAAACCTTGGCAAATATGATTTTCTCGCCAGATCTAAAACATTCGGACGATCATGAATATAGAATGAGGATCACCTCACCAAAGAGCCTCAATCGATTCGAGTCTTGCTGGCTTGCACGTGATAATGCATATTTCCAACATGAGGATGGTTGTTGCCAATTTCCTATCTTAATGAACTGGTGGCCTGTAAAGCTGTACTGCAGTCTGCACGAAACCGATGTCTTGAACATGAATGTGTGTTCAAGACACCGATATTCATACATACTCCTTCTAGCCTCAAATATTCTGACGTTGAGTTCGAGGTTCAGATCTCTATTCCACCATACGATATCATCAGCCTCTTGACATGTCGTATATATACGCTTTTTGGTTCGCTAGTATTTTCTAGTTTCTTTGTTTCTTAATTTCCTTCCAATGCTGTGCTCAAGACCTACCCGGTAAAACAATTTCCTCGTTTTATTGATATCAAGGGTTCTACTTATCCTGTTGGAAGAAGCTGAAAGATGGCGTCCAGGAATAGATAGCAGCCGCAGATAAATATGTAATGTTCCTGTCGACCCCCTTGGCTCGGTAGATAAGCTTTCAAGGTTTGCGCGCCTTCACGGTTGTAGATACCGTTTGATGTTTGTGTTGGAATCCTCCTTTTTCATGTATGAAGTTCAATAATTAGATCCTATGATGTCTTTTGATTCACTGCGATCGTCAATCACTGTCCTCAGGGGAAGCTCTAGGGTAACCAACATAATATTAATATATATATAATGAACCTCTCTGGGTGAATAGAATATATAGTGTTTGGGATATCTACCACATAGATACCTACATACATCCATACTCTTGATACACCAACATATATCGATATCATCAACCCATCAACCCCGTTCGTCGACGTTTTCATAATCAATCACACAAGGTCAAGGATACTGATTAGCTTTTTCCCTTCTTCGATATAATCTTACTTATGGCAACCAATCCATAGAATTCGTCGAATTCATAAACTTTTGTCCATCTTATCTATTTTTCCTTCCCATTTTGTTTACATGAGGACCCCGGAGACGTTAATAAGATCATCCATCTTTGCTTCTTTCATTATACCTCCAAGTCGTCACACCTGAAATGATTTGGGGGAATTAACGGAAAGTCGCGATAAACAGATTCAAAGCTTCGTATCCCTATCAAGGATTCAAACAAATAAAAACTCCCCCAATTCCAATTCCAAAGTCATTCCTGGTAGCGGCGGGGGGACTTGAACTTGGCTTTTGCTTTTGCTTTTGCTTTTACAAGCTACTGTAAACTTTTTCGTTATTTACTTGGTTTCTAGCTCGTGTGCTTGTTTATTACCTGGTAGTTGCTTGTCATCTGCCCTTCTACTTCCTCAATCACCAACAACCTCGAGACAAACATCCATTATTTTTGCCCATTATGGCTTATAATGCTCTTGATCAAAATGATTTTGATGGGGACCATGATGGGGATCATGAAATAAACTCTACTTCTTCCAATTCTCCATTCCAACGATTGTCATCAAATCATCTATTTTTAGATGCGCAAAATAGCGATACGAGCCACGGGCAAGCATATTCTCCAGAAAATACACCGAGTCTCAGCCAGATGGTACAATCGATTACTTCGAAGAGTACAAAAACGAGCGGGAGCTATGATATTGTAGAAGACGACGATTACGAAGAGCACGAGGTAGAACGAGAGCCAACGTCCCCTCCTTCACTGCCGCTGTCACCAGAAAGGAAGAACGTCACATCGCGAGAGGGAACCACACCGGAGAAACCCCTAGTTTTGAGCATTCCACGGCCCCTTCCCCGAAATAATACAGCTACAGGGTCGTCCAACAATACAACTTCTCCTATATCACCTCGTGCAATATTATCGAAAGAACGTGCGCCGATTGTTCGTACAGCATCAGGTCACAGCATTGCGTTACGGCACCCGACACCCGATTTACAAACGCTGCAAGGAGCTTATGTAGGGAATATTGACAAATTGGAAAAGACAGCAGAGCGATTGAGTATGACCTCCTCCATCGATGATGCGATTCGGGAACTCCACATGGAGCAGAAGCGTTCTGATAGTCGCCGGTCATCCATTCTGTCACAGCTTAACGAAATGCCACAAGTCTCAAGAGAAGTCTCCAACCCCGGCTCCATCATCGAATTGAACAATGCTGCAAGATCTGGGGGGTATTCACCTGCAGGGTATATGATGTCTCCGAAGGGTTCCTTTTCTACCACTACGCGAGGGAGATCTGCGTCGAAGGGCTCGAGATTTGGAAATCGACCAGAACCAGAGTTAGAAGGAAGACCGTTGGATTCGTTTGTCAATATGTCCTTTCCCTCACTGGTCGACCATCGAACGCCTTCAATCGCGGAGCAAGATGAACGCTCTGCGACCTTGACACGGCCAACAGTTGACAATATCGGTACAGAAAATACGGCGGAGAATATGGCAGGCCAGGTTGATGAAGCTCGACCTCAAACCTCAACATCAACCAACACATTTGACCAGGCAGAGCGAATGTTTGCGGATTTCGATGGGGTCCACTCTGCACCTTTGAGAACGTCATTTGATCACGAATTTATCATGGAAGAACAAAATAAAGCTACACCCGGAATGCCTGAGGAGCTACATGATGATCAGAGGAGATACTCATCTGGTACACAGCTTTTGCAAGGGGACAATGATCAGAGAAGAGTAGTATCTGGTGATCGGCAGTCGATGGCTAGGCCGCAGACGTATGCTGATCCAAGTACTGGCCAGCAGATGGTTTACTACCCAGCACGAGTTCCCATGATGCTCAATTTGCCTCAGAAACTCTCCAAGAATCCATCTTCTATGGCAAGGAATAAGAGGAGATCGCAAGTTCTCAGCAATATTCCAGCTGCTGCTCGGCAATCAGCTATTTGGTTACCCGATGTGTTGGAGATGAATGGCGAGCCTCTACATGAAAATGACGATGCGCAAAATTTAGAATATGTTCCTCAGCATCAGAGAATGAGTATGGGTGGACGAAGAAATACACAGGATTTGTCGCATATGCCTCCCCACCTGAGAGCAAACGCATTCTTTGAGCTCCCACCGGGGCAAACCGAGGCTATGGAGTTAAAAGATCAATCGGCTGTTGCTACTCTGGATAGTATCTTGGATGCATCTGCTCATGCTCCTGTCACCGCGTTCGTTGATCATGCAATTGCTGGGCATCTTGGAAACGAGGTGTACGGAAAAACACACCAACGCAACAAGAGTAGTGCTCAATTACTGACACCGACACCGGAGAAGCCAGATATTTCAAAGAAACGAACAAGCTCATTCAACTTTCTATTGGGCCGTCGGTCAAGTAGCAATAATCTCCTTGGAGATGATGGCAAGCGTGCTTCTACAATGTCCAATATTCAGGTTGAGAGAAAGGCGACCAGGTCTCCTATTGAAGATGACGAAGATGACATCAATAACAAAGATACAACGCCTTTACGACACACACGTGGGGTTAGTGGTGCCACTGATCTCATACGCGCCGAGGAAGGTGAAGTAGAAAGTGAAGAGGATGAGGGTCAAAGGGACGATGAAATTTACCACGGCCCACCAACCACACTTCTTGCCGAGCTACAGTTGCGCAAGCAACAACAGAAAATTCGAACTAGACCACCTCTTAGTGTTAATGGCATGCAGTCAACATTACTCGAGATGGACACAGTTCTACAAAGGCAACAACAAACCAGGAAACAAAAACGGGTTAATCTAGCATGGCAACTTGGAGATAATGAGGATCCTGATGCCGAAGAAGATGAAGATGTTCCCTTGGCTATGTTAAATGTAGCAAGAGCTCATGTTCAAGATACACGCAGACCCCTTGGTTTGATGGAAAGACGTGAATTAGAAGACAATGAGCCACTCAGTAGACGCAGAGCTCGATTAACTGGCCAACCTATGCCAATGCCTCGAGCTACTACCATGATGCACATTCCTACAGGCATTCCTGTTGTGGAAGAAGATGAAGGAGAGACACTTGCACAACGCATCCGACGTCTGAAAGAACAAGGAGGAACAGCAACTGGCCTTCCAGCTACGAGACCTGTTAGTGGTGATTTTGCATCTGAGATGATGAGTCAATTCGGTGGAGACATTTTGAATGTTGATGGTGGCAAGGGCAAAGGAAAGGAAGTTTCTACAACTCCAGTCAATGAAGAAGAGGAAACCTTGGGCCAGAGACGTAAACGTCTTCAGGCAGAAAAGGAAGCTCGTGAAAAAGAAGTCGGCACGGCCGGTGATGCTGAAGCGACTCCAGAACCTTTGGTCATAAACAAGATGAACAGTATGGCTGACATTCTTTCGGCTCACCCAGCCGCTGGCGCAAGTCGAAATTCATCATTTGCCAAACCATCCCGACCAGCTACTGGTCTCCTCGGCTTGCACGAGAAGCAAACTCAGCGAAGAGCTAGCACAATGACTAACCTTGTCACTCAACAAAATATGGCTCCCCGTGTTACTCGTGTTAAAAGTGGCACATACAATGACCCGCAATCTCATGGGCAACTTAATACAATCCGGCCACCAAATACTTCCAACTACAACCTTCACAACAGCGCACTTCCCAATAGCGGCTACCCACAATTCGCTCAACCAACTATGAACTACAATAACTTCAATAACTCCATGACACAATATGGAAATGCACATCCCAACATGGGCTATCAAAACAACATGCCCATGGGCGGCTATAATAACATGATGCAAATGCAGAATATTCACACAAATCCTATTACTGGCTTGGCTACAGGACCTGGTGGTGAACCGCTTAATCAGGGGCAAGTTGATATGGTAGAGCGATGGAGACAAAGCGTTATGCATTAAGTCAGATACACTATTTGATCAAGCCGATATTTTTCATTTGTTTCACATCTCGATGTTCTTCTTTCACCATATTTCGGCTTTCAGCTTTGGTTTCCGGGGAATGCAAGGATGGATACAAAACAACCACCTAGGGATGGATGGAATTTTATAGATAGATACACATGGATGCAGCATCTATAGTGGGCGTTTCATTACTGCTTTTGAATTTTTCTTGGATTTTTTGAATCAAGTTTGAATCTGGACTTTGGATTTTTGCAAATCATCTAGCGTTCGATTGATAGTTGCGAGATATACCTGTTTTGAGCCCCTTCTTTTTTTGCCTTCGCTTGAGATTTCTCGGGGGAGGAGGGAGGAGGATTTGCAAGATTGAATGTGGGTGGAAAGCATAGCGTAGGATATGGGACGTGCATTTTGTGGCGTATAGGGTTAGTTAGTCGATTGATTGTGTCAGTTCTTTAATCTTGGGAACGGGAAATTAGAGGGAATTGGAATTGGAATTTGGGATGGAGAGATTAGGATAGGGTGGGACGGCATGGAATGGGGTTATTTAGATACTTGACTGCCTTGTTGGTTGGTTAGGGCTTTGAAATAAGTATCCGGCACTGGGGACGGGGTGAGCTAGTGAGATGAGGAGATTGCAATGGCGATGGCGATGGGTTTATATACGTACCTAGGTATCTATACATATAGTGGATGTGGATTCGTAGGTAGTGAGTGGATTATTACCTATTTAATAGAGAGATTTAATACTTTATGGTTGGATGTGCAGGGTTGTTTGGTGGTCATGTTTTGTGAGATGTATGTGTATGTATATGTGTATGTATATGAGATGTGTAAAAGTTCTTTGTGGTACGAAGATATGCAGGTAGATAGAGGTGGGTAGGTGGGTAGGTGGGTAGGTGGGTAGGTGGCTTAATCCTGTGTACCACCAGGTACTCATGGTAATAGTATGATATCGTGAAATGTAAATTCAGATGTCTATATTTGAGTTGAGTTGAGTGGCGGAGTGAATTTTTATAGAGATCTCGAGAGTGAGAGATGATGGAGAGATGATGGAGATTATATAGAGGAAGAGGAAGAGGAAGAGAGAGGAAGAGAGAGAGAGAGAGAGAGAGAGAGAGAGAGAGAGAGTGTGTGTGTGTGTGTGTGTGTGTGTGTGTGAGTGAGGAAGAGTACACATCCCATGGTTTTGAATATCATATCATGTCATGTCATGTCACATCATGTCTGTAAGCAACTAGAAGAAAAAAACTTTGAAAAGAGTTAGATATTCTATTCTATTCTATTCGAGTTTAATGATTTGGATGGTTTGGATGTTTGAGATGTGTGGGATGGTGAGATATTGAGATGTTGAATTCGATTAGAACATTGGATTCTTTTCAGATTTCTAAGTGCATTTGGATCTTCAAATCATTTGAGATATTGAATTTCACTGAGTATTAAACGATTTTTGAATCTCTAATTGCTTTTGAATGGATATTCACTTTTTTATGTTATTGTATTGATGGATTATAATCTGGACTATTGGACGATAGGATGGATATCCTGACTCCGAGTAACACTGTGAGAGAGTGGATTATGTTACATTATCATACATCTCAAATCTAGATGGTGATGCATAATGAGATCGAAGGGATGGAATGGGGTGAATAGGTAGATATCTGAATACTTGGTAGATGCTAGCTATTTGAATGATCAAAAAGGATTGAGTCACAGCAATGGAGTGGATACGTTTCTTCAATCAAGATTTTAAGAAGAAAATTCATGTATTGTATATCTCATCGCTTGGATGTCAATACAGCTAAGTGTATACGATAACTAACAGATATCTTCTATTTTCTGCTCTTTTCCATCATGAGGTCCGAGATCTAATTTGAGGGTTCGTCCGAAAAGTTCAAGGAGGATCTCGAAACAGATCTTAGAGATGGCGGGGTCATAGCGACCTTTTGATAGCTCGTCGCGGATGAATGCGTCTTGTGTTTTGTGTTAGCATTAAGCGGTATTTGATATTGAGGAATAAAAACTTACGCTGAGCCCACGCAACCTCATACCAACTGAATACAATTCCCTTTTCTCTCAATGTTTGTCTGATAAGATCTCTTCCCTCAGGAGGCACATGATTATCCTTACATCCATGAATCATGGCCAGTTCACCCTTGATTTCCGAGGCACGAGCGAGACTGTCGTCTTTTTTGCCGAGACCGAGAGTTGCGCTGTGGAGATCGGTGGCGAAGTATGTTACTGTTGCGGCGACACGAGGGTCGAGAGCACAGCGGTAGGCAAGATGACCGCCGAGACACATTCCTGTGCTGCCGATGCGGCCATTGCAGGTAGGGAGGGAGAGAAGGTAGTCAATTGTTAAGGTGGAGTCTTCATCGTAGGCTTCGAGGGTCTGTGGGGGTATGCGGTAAGAAATGGATGAAGGTTTAGAGAATGATATAGGAGATATGGATCTCGGACATAAAGGGGGGCTTAAAAGTGTAGTCGACATCTGATGTTGGAAAGAACATACCTTGGTGATCTTATATTCATTGCCAGCATCAGTTCCAGGAACATCATAAGCGAGCGGTTCGGGGCCGGTAAACTCATGGTATGATGAGGGTGCTGCAACAATGTAACCTTGTCCAGCGATCTGTCTTGCAAATCGGGCAACTGGTCCAGTGACTTTTATGAGGAGAGTGTCAGCATGTACTCTTGTATATTTATATGTAGCACGTGAGTGCGGGGTTGTAAGATAAGGAAGCAGGAAGACACGGGTATTGTGATTTCCCTTGAGCAAGTCCCATGGGACTCCAACCGATGAGTTGTCACTTGGAAATCTATCACTCTGATAAGGATATGAGAAGCTCAATGGAGACCAATGATATGACATGAAGAAATAAACAGATTAAGAAAGTTGAAACACCCCACCAGAGCCCCACTAACCTTGATAAATCTCACTGAAAACAACAACACCGGGAAATCGTCTATATATGATACAATGCTTCAGCTTTGAACCTTATTAGATAGTAGAATAGATTGTACTACACACGCTTGAGGGTAGTTTGGAATGGTAGGATGGAAGAGAAAGATTCCTAGATATGATTAGCGGGGATCGATTTGTGTTGAGGAGGGGGGGGAATCAAGCTGTACTCATAGATCCTTCTTTTCCTCCAGCTTTCGTTGGAACATCATAGTGAGTTTCTTGGATTAACATTTTGGAGATGGCTGTGTGATGTGTCGTTGGTTGTTGAAGTTATATGGAAGCTTATATAGGTATCCAAGATTGACTCAAATAATTCAAGCAATCAGAGATGAGAAGTATTGGTTGATATTGACAACATGAAGCTTTTACAGCTATCAATGAATAATCGAGGATCAGATGATTTCCGTAATTTGGGTCACCGTACCCGTAGCCCCTCGTTTGAAAGTCTGTACGATATGGTACGAACAATACTATAATATAACAATGAACCGTTTTTTCTAAGACCCGACACTTCCGAGTGTAAGGTTAAGGGGGTTTTAATCCATGTCATTGAATTTTATAATAATACCGGTCGGATACTACTAGTATTTCTAGTATTTGATGCTGGCAGCTGCAAACACACACATTTTCATTGATTGCCCTACGATACCAGTAGATATCCTTTTATTATTTTGGCTTGCTTGCATGCATGTGAGAGAAGAAGTTCTATACTGGTGATACAAACCTGGAATCTTTTAATAAATAAACCTGCGTGTGATAAGGAATTCACTTGATTCTTGACCTTCTACCCATTTCACCCATTCTCTAAATTCTCTATCTTAACATTCCTTTCAAGATAATCAATCATACCTACTTTACTCCCATTAACTGTCTTCCCTTTTCCACATTCTCCTTTGAAGCTTCTACGAGTATTTCATTCCCATATTCCAAAATCTTTATTACATCATCTTGTAATCAATTAAAAAGGTTCTACGAGTATTAATCGAAGCTTTGGTACCTACCGAGTTCACAAATTTTACCTCCCTCGAAACAGCTTCTCAAAAACTTCCACATCAACCATTTCCTCGAAGCTAACTCAACACAACATTGCTGTTCACACCACAAAGTTTTTGAGGAGCACATAATATCATTGAGCTGGAAGCTTCTCAATCAATAACAAACAATGTCTAGCGTTAAGACTAGACGACAAACAGCGGCCGCTTCTACACCATCAACTCCCACGCCCGCAGCTCGTGAACAAGCCATCATGAATGGCAATGGGAATGGTTCGGCACATAAGTCTGAAGAGGCTGTGTATGTTAAAGAAAACATCTTTCTCTTCTGGCCCAATGTTATCGGTAAGCTTCCTCAAATCTATATGCGAATAGGATGGCGCATGCTAACCCTTCATAGGATACTTTCGAATCGTTCTCGCATTAGTATCTCTATACTACATGCCCCTTCATCCACGTACCTGTACTCTTCTCTACAGTATCTCCTGCCTTCTCGATGCTCTCGATGGGTACGCTGCCCGCTACTTTGAACAATCTACAAAATTTGGTGCGGTATTGGATATGGTGACCGATCGTTGTACTACTGCCTGTTTGCTGGTCTTCCTGTCTTCAGCCTGGCCCCGATGGGCTCTTCTTTTCCAAGGACTCATCTCGTTGGATTTGGCTAGTCATTACATTCACATGTATGCGACTCTTGTGATGGGAGGCGGAGATACCAGTCACAAGCAAGTCGATAAATCTCGAAGTTGGATTTTGAACTTGTATTACACAAACAAGGTACGTACACCTGTGTATGAATCTCTACTATTTAAACTAACAAAAGATGGTAGACTGTCCTCTTCCTCTTCTGTGCTCTCAACGAAGTTTTCTTCATCGCCCTCTACCTCCTCTCCTTCTCCTCTCCTCTGCTCTCCCCATCTCTCCTCCAAGTTACCAACAATGGCGAAGCAGCAAGCACACTCGTCCCTGGAAGCCCCTCCAATCCATCTGCCGCATCCCTTTTCGCTAATCCCTACAGCGCCGGCGCATTGGAACTCGCACGCGCAAATAAGATGGATTCAACCTGGCCATGGATCATTGCGGGAATCTCATTCCCCATCATGGCAGGAAAACAAATCATCAATGTCGTACAATTGGTCAAAGCTAGTCGATGGTTGGCCGAGGGAGATATTCAAATGAGGAGAGCAGCTGGATTACCAAGACAGATAAAGGAGAAATGATTGACCTTGTGGCAGGTGATCTTTTTTTTTTTTTTCCTTTTCTCAATCTTTGTTAGATTTATTCTGTTCGAGTCTTTCCGACTCATTTGTGTATCTGGACCTTTCAAGGTTCTCTTTGCACAAATCTACACTTTGCATGTGTAGTTGTATCAGATATTTTGGCTCATGTATAGTGCCGGGTTTTTGCATTCATTCATCTATTTGATTGACTGTTTGTTCATTCATTCGTTATATTTATTTTGATATCATACAAATAGGGAGCATAAGGTAGAAGAGGAAATGGCGTTGGGATTCATTTGCAGCCATCTAAGTCTTCTATGATTGATAGGCATGTGAAGTTGGGTCTGTAATGGGAATTGAATGATATTCAATATAATAATAATATTCAACTGATTTTGGATTGTTCAATGTATGTATGGGCTTGTGTGTGAGAATCACTAAGGTGGATTCAGATATTCATGTGAAGTGATTGACAATGTATGTTTGTGTGATTGTAGTAAAGTCAAGAAGGTGGGAAAAGAAATTGTGAGACATGCATATATGCACGCTCTAGGTGAATCAATTGATGTACCGGTACGAATAGATGTTATGGTAGGAGGGAATGAATAGAACGGATTGAAACGAGGCGATTGTGTGGAGTAGGTAGGTTAGCTATGTATGCAGTATGTATAGATGGATGGATTGTAAAGAAACGGTGAACGATATGTATGTATAATGTTTATTGGTGTTTGGATGGATGGATGGAGAATTTGAATGGAGAATTTGGATGGAGTCTGGATTTGAGATGATGGTCGCGTGAGACTTGAGAGTTTGGATAGGGATAAGATGGATGGATGGATGGGAGTAGATATGGGGTAGGTGGAGAAGAAGGTGTAGAAGTAGGTGTAGAAGTAGGTGTAGAGAGATAGGTATAGAAGAAGGTATTGAAGAATGCTTTTTGAATTTTGGATTTGATGTTTGATGTTTACTTATTGTAGGTAGGTATCGGAATGAGATGAGATACCTAGGTAGAGTGAGATATTATATCTATCTATTTATTAGTAAGTATGGTAACTATAGAAAAGATTGATAGATTGATTGATAAATTGAGAGATTGATAGAAACAAACTAACTACCACTCACTAGGTACCTATCTAGATAAACTTACTAACTGAACTCTGAAAAATGTCTACTAGGTAGGTATACTAACTGACTGACTGATTGTCTGTCGGAATGACTAAACCGGATATCTGATTTGGGAAAGACGAGAAATGGATGGATAGGTAGTACTAGGTAGATAGTATATGGAAAAGAGATGGGTAGATGTAGATGTAGATGGAGATGGAGATGGAGATGGAGATGGAGATGGAGATGGAGATGTAGATGTAGATGTAGATGGAGATGGAGATGTATATGGAGGATAGATGTAGATGGAGATGGAGATGTATATGGAGGATAGATGTAGATGGAGGAGATGGATATTAGATAGATATTAGATCTGGATATCCAATTCCAAGGTTGTATTGAAATCTACAATACGGATATTGATCACCTATCTATCTTATATCTTATTCTTATCAAATTCATCGTGGAAAGTTCTTCTTACATTCATGGATGATCCAATTGTAAATTGTTGAATGAATGGATTGGGTTGAGAGGGGTTTTATGAGTCTAAAAGGGGTTGGTGTGTACTACATAGGGATTCCGAGTATTGAATTATTTGGTATCGTTCATCCTGGTCTCGTAACTTTATAGGGAATTGGAATATTAGTGGAATGGATGGAGTGGGTGGAATGATTGATAGATTAATTGATAATTGATTGAAGAGATGGGTCAGTAAATGAGTAAACGAGGAAATGATTAATAAAGGTTTACGAGTGAGTATTTGGGAGATGATTCTATTCATAGATACGATGGGGAAATCATTGAGGAGGAGTTATTTGAGTAGGTAGGTAGGTAGGTAGGTAGGTAGGTACTATCTAGGTTGATATCTATATCTGAGCCCCTTAGTTTATAGATGTTTCTTTTAGTTTGATGATTATTTTGATATATATCTAGATATTATGATGTGTTGTATAATACAAGTATAAATGAAATATAAATATAAAATATAAAATATACTTGAGAATCGAGAATTGAGATACCTACCTAGATTTCTATATGAAACCGTATATCACATAAAACGACACTAGTAAATCTCATGAGCTGTTAAATGTCACATGTGACCTTCTTACCCAGTCATACCTTTACAAAATACTATCTACCTACATCGTACTCACTCACACATACATAATCCCCTGGTCATGGCGGGGGTTTACGTCCTGAACTTATTGTATTACCGTCTAAAAACTACTCGTACATCCATCCGGTCATCTATCTATCTACCTAGGTCCACGAATCTATTCACTTATACCTATGAAAAGCCGATGATTCTCCACTTGATCCCTTTCAAAATACTTGGTACTTATACAATACCTAGTTATTAGCCAGATATTCAACCTTCAATATTCAACCTTCAATATCAACCTTCAATATCAATCTTCACTCATTTAATTCCTTCCTCTCTTTCACTCTATCAAACTACCAATGTAAACCTTCACCTTCACCTTCACCTTCACCCTCACCCTCACCCTCCCTTCACTCAAATCATAAACTCGACTCCACTCATTCTTCAACATTTTCGCTTCTAGAACGAAGAAACCAAGGATTAATTCCTCCCCCACCCCTCCCTTCCCTTCCCCTCCCCACTCAAAACTCAATCAATCCAATCAACTTTCCTTCTTAGACCGACTTATGTCAGTCCTCTGTGATTCTTCATTCTCCCTAGTACTGACTGGGCATCCTATCTCATACCCATTCTTCCCATCTCAAACCCAAAATTCCTACTTAGTATGCAATGCCATTCACGAGCTGGATAATAGACCAGGGCCATAATAAAATCTACTAATACATGACAACCACAAACCACTACAACACACAATCTCCCATTTAACTTTCCATCACAACTTCAATCCCTTCAATCTTTTCAATCTTTTCAATCTTTTTCTCGTGAACTCTGGTATGCATCGATATAATAACAAAATTAGACATTCATCATTTCCGTTTCTTCCTCGTAATACTCAATTCTCTTCCAAATCATGTCAGCTACGTCACCCCCACCACGAACTCGATTCGATCCCACTCCGATTGAGGAGACGGTGAAGAAAGTGAGAAAGTTTGCCGTCGAACCGGTCGAAACGACGACGAGAAGTAATAAGAAAGAAAATATAGAGCAAGTCGAGAATGCTGTAGAAAAGAAGGACTTTGCCGATGCCCCGCCCAAGAGACGCTTCCTGCCTCAACCCGTGGAAACGACACAAAAGTCAAGCAAAGCAAAATCACCAAGTCCTCTGTCAACTCCAGAGCTTGCTCCCGAGTCCAAATCACAAGCTCCAGCTACCGCAGATGCATCAGCCCCAAGAAGAAGGTTTACACCTCAATTAATAGAAACGACAAAGAGGTTCAAGAGATCTACCACTCCTGGCCCGGCTACCTTACCTACTGATAAGACTGATATAACACCGGTATGTTTTGCAGTTAAATTTCCTCTGATTACTCGGTGTCTAATGTTTCTAGGGTACAAATCATATCTATGCGGAGAAAAAACGAAAATATATACGTCCCATACCCGTTCCTTTAGCACCCGACAATACGCCCGTTTCATCTTCTGCAGATATCCATTCTCACGTTCCACTTTCACTACCGCGTCGGCAACCCTCAATGCGCCCTCACAATAATACTAGAAAAAGCACGCGATCAAATTCTTACCAACCAGAATTGGACCCAATAGACTCGGATGAGAATTCACAGGAAAATTCGGAGAACGAAGGTGAAGATGCCGAGTCCACACCGTCTTTATCTGGTTCATTGGGATCTTCGGAAGACTCCATGTTGAAGATGCAAATGGCACGAACACGAGAAAGTTGTGATGAGAGATTTGCGGGTTACCTCCTGGCACTAGCTGCTAAAGCTGCCGAGAAACAACTCATGGAACAAGCATTAGCGGCATTCCCCAACGAGTCTGCTTACGAAATTGTAGAGCATTTCTACGATAGGGAGATCGACACAGCTTCCGAAGAAGATTCCGTGGAAGGTGTAGGCATGCTGGTGGATGATGCTCACATTCAGGAACTTCGTAGAAAATCTACAGAGGTTGGGTGGGCAGCGAAAGAAATGCAACAACATCAGGAGAATTTGAATCGGTTGAGAGAAGAGGAGACCAATAAGAAGGTAGCTGAGGAAGCCACCGCCCCAACATTTCACGATCCCTTTTGGACAAATGGAATGACGGATAAAACTCGACCAAGTGGTACTCCTCAAGATAAACAAAAGGAAGCTGAATTGGTTCGCATGCGTAACGCAGCCTCTCCTCCAATGCTTGGTGGTGATTTAGTCTTTCGCATGTGTCCTTCGCCAAAGGCGACCAAATTCGAATCCGATCAACGACATGACGTACAACCACATCGAGTCGAAGATGGAGGAGGTTTATGGGGTGGTTATTGTGTTGCCGAGGAAAATGAACAATATCTCAGTCCGGATGTTGTCAAAAGACCACAAATGATTGCAACCCCGCATCTAGAAATGGATGATCCGTTTTCTTCCGCATTTTCAAATGCAGCGCCACATGTTCCTGCCAAATCATCTGAAAGAAACAAGGGTGGTGTTCATATGCTCAGTGGACTCGATGATAGGTTAAAAGCCGAGGTTGCGAGGTCAAAATCGGAAGATATGTTGTTGGAGGAGTTTGATGATACGTTTGTTACACAAGTTTACAATTACCTTTCCCTCGGATATCCATCTTTAGCTCGGCAGTATGACGAAGAATTGGCAAAGATCTCTCAGATTCCGGAAGAGGAATTGAGAGTAGATGACAAGAGTCAGAATATCAAAGGACATATTGGTTTAGTGGCAGTTGATGGTCATGTAGAGGAAAAGAAGGGAAGATCTCTCAAGGGGGAAAGAAGTGAAGGGGGTTATGGTGCTAGATGGAAAGCGTTACGAATATATATTCTGGAATGGGCAAGACAACATCCTTCCATGTCGAATGGTGCATCAGCACCTAGTGCTTGGGGTGTAAGAGCTAGAAGGGGCAGTTGGGCGATATGATTTATTTTTTTACATCGTACGAAATCTGGTTTCAAGGGGTATAAATTTCGTTATTTTTTTAACGAAGAAAATTAAAGTAGTTTGCGAAAGCAAGACAAAGTAGAAAGTTGGGCGAAGGCGTTAAGGGAGTGTTTTTTTCGTTGCGTATATATATTTATGAGACAAACGGCAGCCTTGGGATATTTTATTTTTTTATTGAGATAGGTTGAGGAATAAGGAAAGGGAAGGGAATGGAATATTTATTGTTGGTAAATTATGAGTAGTAAATTCTTGGGGATTGGTGATAGGGAATGAAATGGAAGGAAGGAAAGGAAAGGAAAGGAAAGGAAAAAGTGGGTGCTTTTTTATGATGGATTAGGTGTCTGTATATGATATTGTGAGGTGTATAAGGGGGGTAGATGAGGGGAGTGTATGAGGAGGGGTCATATGAGAGGACAGTTGTATAAGGAGGAGTGAGTGACAGAATGGTAAAGGAATGATTAAAGGGGTCGCTGGAGGGAGATGAATAGATATATATATGGGTAGATTATATATTTATAGAATGATAAGTTTATGGTAACTCTTTGTTTTGTTTTGTCTTCTTTTGTTTTTTCTGTAATGATTTTATGTGTGTATGAGAGTGAGTGTGGGTGTGGTTTTGTGATGGATTGGAAAAAGAGGAGTTGTAGATTCGCTAATAGATGGAGATAGATGGAAGAGGAGAGGAATAGGTAAGGAGATGGGTATGAGTAGGTAGGCAGTTAATGGATATGCGAATGGGATATGCGAATGGGTGTGAGTAGGTATGTGAGTATATGGAGTGGAGTGGAGGGGATGAGAGAGTTGGTTAGATAGATAGATAGATGTATTGTTCTGATTATGGATGGGGATGTGGATATGGATATGGAGGTTTGTATTGATTGTAGTGAGGTGAGGTGAGGTGAGGTAAGGCAATTGTTGTATCAGGGGTATAAATGGATGAATGAATGGAATTGTGATAAATTGGAGATTTTTTGATAGGTGTGTTGATGGTTTTGATGGTGTTGATGGTTTTGATGATTTTGATGATTTTCATGATGTGATGATATAATGAGGGTTGGCTGGGTAGTGGTTGGATGGATGCACATAGTGAGAAGAGTAAGTTTATTGAATAGAAACGAGAAAATAAGGATAAGAAATGAGTTGGAGGGGATAGAGTCGGATGTATGAATTGGAATTGGAATTGGAATGGAAAGGAGAAAGAGTGGTGGAGATGTGTGGGTGGAGATGGATAATGGATCGATGGATGGTAGATTGATGATTGGCAGATGGGTGAATGGTCAATGGATGGGGTGGAAAGAAGAGGGAATGGAGGATTGGAGGGGAGATGGATAGATTGTGGAGATGAGGAGATGGATGAGTAAATGAGTAAATGGGGAGATGGGAAAGGAAAAGAAGTGGTGAGAAGTAGTAATGAGATTCTTTTGAGTATATAGGGAAGTGAGATGGAGAGATGGACAGATGGATAGAAATGGGACATTTCATGAAGTATGAAGATAGGTGTTATATATATGTGTGTATATGTGTGTATATATATATGTATTTATATAACTGGATAATTAAACGCTCTTGACAAAGAGTCTGAAAGATGAGGGGAGCAAGCAAGTGAGAATATAATGTGATGATTTGCAGGAGGGTGTAGATTAAGAGAGGAGAATTAATGATATGGAAAGAGGATTGAAGGCGTAGGGGAGTGGAAGAGAGAGAGGACTATAGTTTTCTGGGAGAGAAATAGATATCCAGGATGGATTTGGATTTTTGAGACTGGATGTCAAATAGCTAAGACTGGGTGCGGGATGAGTATACTAATGAAGATGATAAGACGGGATTGATAGTGAAGATCAGGATTTAGGATATAGGATATAGGAAGGAGATAGGTATAGAGATGGAAAATGGATTAGATAGAAGGATGCAGATACAGATATAATCGATAACACAGCTAGCATTGCTAGAGTAGAAGAAACAGAGTATCAAGCAAATATATTCGAAACTAATAGGTAGGTACATAGCAATTAACTACCTGTATAATCTACCAACTCTAAAACTGCGAATGAGAGTATCTATTCAATGTTGGAAGGAAATGAACGATCGGATTTTCTTTTGTGTGGTGGATTGGGAGTTATGAGTTTATGTTTTTTGATATGTGATATCTTGATGTTGATATGGAAACGATAGAAGTTTAGAGTTTGGGAGGGGGTGAGGATGTGGAGGGGTGAGGAAAGGGGGGTTTGAAGGTGGCTATTAGTTGGGAGGGGGTGATGGTTGTGGGATTACTTATTTTTCTGTAGAAATGTTGGGAATACGAGAATGTAAATTGTTGATTGGAGATACAAATAGAAGGAGTGATAAGGAGGAAGAGATAGTTGATTATTTATACATAGGCATTAATATCATTTCGTCTAATCTCCTATATTCTATCGATACTAACCTCCTTTCCTCTCCCTCTTCCCCTCCCAAATAGTTCACCTCCATATCCTCTACCTCCCAACCTCCAAATCACGATTGAAATTTCTTTTCAATTCATCCCTCTCTTCTTCATATCACATCATCACATCATCCCAATATTTTTATTCCCATTGTAATATACACAAATCGTAGAAACTAGATATCCTCAACAAACAAACAGGAGACAAACACAATCAAAAACAAAAACAGAAATACACAGCACACAGTACACATTACTCAAAAACGCTCAGAGAAATTCATACTTGAGCAGTAGTAAGTAAGTATACCAAACCCAACATCATATTCGCATCCAACTTTTTCGCAGGAAGGGAATCTCGTATATAAACGGAGTGATGGAACAACTAACCAATCAACTAACCAAGTAGCAAATCAGACAGTTAAGATATATAACTCCAGAAGTCTCGACGAAAGAACACACTTCACGTAAACTCCAGAACTCGAGATTTGACTAGATGAACGCCCTTTTCCACATTTCCAGTCACATCTTCATCACCTTATCGAAACACCTTCCATCACATCTCATCTTACAAGTTACCACGACGCGGGGATTTCCACAAAATCAATCATATCACATCACATTCACCCGTCGAACTTCACAACATCTATTCAACATTTCAAGAACAAAGTATGACGCTCAAACGACATACTCTATCTAATCTACACAATTACTATACATAGAGTAAAAGTCTTTCATAACATTTATAATCCTCGCAAACTCATTTTCACCCATGAAATACTTCACCATGCCCACGCCCCTACTAGCTATCCAAACATGCACATCCTGTATTGTACGTAAACTTGTTCGCGGATTGTGACCATCAACAGCTGACGATAGATAATCTTCAGTAGCCGTGCGACTGTCGAACAACGACCGAGTAGCATGTAAGTTATCGCTGGTGATGCTCCCAGAAAAACTTCATAGCTCAACAACTACAAACGAGAATAAGACCATTCATTTCCATACCCCCTCAAAATTCTCTCGAAGCAATTAGTATGAAAGTGACTGGGAACTCCCCTCTACATATATCCAGAAATATATAAACATGAGAAGAGATAATAGAAAGAGTGATTACACTGCTGTAAAAAGAATGCAGTAGGTATAGTGTAAGAACCCAAAATCCCAACCTGAGGAGAGAAAATTGCGCTAGCAAAAACCCGGTCTTGAGGGTCAAATTCCAGGCCGGTTTCGGAGAGGTTGTAGATATGCAACAAAGATGTGTGAGATATTGTGATGTTGGGATTATTATTGGTAGGAATATTATGGAGAGAGGAATTTTTCCAGGGGGAGGGGCGAGGGGATTTGAATGCTGGGGAAACTGAGCAAGGGGGAGGTCATGGAGGATATTTGCTCGGAGTTAATAAGCGGATTGTTGTTTGTCATAGGTGAACGCACAGTTCAGCGCAAAAAGATTCATGTATGACTTGTTAGAATGAGTGATCTATCGGAAGTGAAGAGAGACGTGAGAAGTATATTTGCTACCCGTTTATGACACTTGCAGCTTCAATCTCACAGATAGATGTACGTCAAGCAAACTTCCACCACGGGTACCTGTCTGGGTCCAGAAATGACATGAATAGAATATGGTAGGTGTATTGAAACATAATTGTCATGCGACTGTCAGAACTGTTGTATGTCGGGGTAAGAAGGAACGCATGGGACCCGAGTTCAGTCTCACAACGATCAGGTTTCGAATACGCGGGGGGACATTCGTCTCTCAGCGTGCCAACGTATTATTTGAGAAAAAGTAAAGAAAGGTATGAGGAGACATACAGCTGGAAAGTGTGAGATTCGCAAAATAATGAGGATTGTAGTTTGATTTGATTGGGAAGGTTGCTATAACCCCACGAATAGATTGGTAAGATGTATGCGTTGAAAACTAATCAAGTGACATTTCTTTCTAGGTTTTAACTTTATTAGATGATAGATTATAGAGACACGAGCCGTCCACTCATGTACTTTCCGTGAGAGAGACACGGGAGGAAGCCGTTGCATAGAAGTTGAACTATAAATTGCCCTGGAAGAGTACACCTCAATTCGGGTTCTCCGGATTAGCAAGTCGATACTCAGTATAACCAAATTCGAACTTCGGAAACTACCCTGATCAGCGAGAAACTCAAACAAATATTTCAAAAAGCCAAAATGTAAAGAGTGTGTCCACTCGTGAGTGTACAGGCTAACGGGACGGCTTGAAAACCTTTTGCAGTTATTCTGATTCAACTGCAAAAATGGACTTGAGATATCCCAATGAATATTTCAATAGATATTGACAAGAACGATCAGAATGATTTATTAGAAATTGAACAACAAAACGAATAGATTCCGATACCAAAACATTGAAGAATGAATTTGTTGAAGAATTCGAAAGTTGAAGACTGTCCCGTCCGCCCATGCACGCATTGGTGTTCTACGAAAATCGACACGTCATTAGAGATCGTCTTCCCACCGTTTTGCAAAGGAGGGCAATCTGGATGAGATTCTGTTGAAATTTAGCGTCAACCTAAGCCTTCTAAGAAAT